CCCAGAGTCCAGCGGGTCACTAATCCCAGAGTCCAGCGGGTCACTAATCCCAGAGTCCAGCGGGTCACTAATCCCAGAGTCCAGCGGGTCACTAATCCCAGAGTCCAGCGGGTCACTAATCCCAGAGTCCAGCGGGTCACTAATCCCAGAGTCCAGCGGGTCACTAATCCCAGAGTCCAGCGGGTCACTAATCCCAGAGTCCAGCGGGTCACTAAGCCCTGCGTCCAGCTACCCTCAGACACCCCTCAACCCACACAGGTTGAAATACATCATGAAAGACTCATGGCTCCCTCAGGCCCCCCTCCCAGGGGGAAATACATCATGAAAGACTCATGGCTCCCTCAGGCGCCCCTCCCAGGGGGAAATACATCATGAAAGACTCATGGCTCCCTCAGGCACCCCTCCCAGGGGGAAATACATAATGAAAGACTCATGGCACCCTCAGGTACCCCTCCCAGGAGGGAATTTGTTGTTGTTGGAGCCCGTGCCCCCATACACCGGGGCCTAGCGATGTCCCTGCTGTGTGTGTGGCTCACACTGTCTGTATGTTGTGACACTTTGTATCCTTTTATTTGTGACGTTTCCTATTTCCTGTCTGCAATCAGTGCGGAGTCAGGGTGGCTCAGGGGGGTGTACAGGATCTCCTTACATATGGCTAACAATATCGCCGACTGCAGGTGGAGCGGAGTACTGTCTCTGCCTCGGGTGGGTCGCGGTCCTGCTTTGTGTTTTTGGGAAGGTTTCATGTGAGAATCATATCCAGGAAGTAAGGAATGATTGGGAGGACAATGGCCGAATCCTCCTGTCAGTCATTTCTTGTTTCAGGGTACAGGGAAGGGACACAGCCCCAGTCTGTGCCCCTCCTTCACTTCCTGTTCTGGAGACACAACAGGAAGTGACAGGAAATCTCTTTAATGTGAGAGGAATGCCCCTTTTATTGTCACAGGAACTGGTGTCCCCATTTAAAGGATTTCCCCTCTATTCCTGCTCTGGTGACATTATTGGTAAGATTTTGGACTGTGTGTGTGACCCGGGTTTTGGCTTTTATCGATCTTTTGGCATAACGTCCCCTCTGTTTTCTGTGGCAGGAATGTGGACCGTCCGTCTCTGTGTCAGATCTCGCTCTACGATTTCCAGTGCTTCCTCCAATACGATCAGAAGGTGAGTGCGGCGCGCGTCGGGCCCCGTGTGTAAAGTGGAACTCCGGCCCCAATTTAAAGTTTTGGATACTGCGGAGAAGAGATATATCCTTTTATCCTTTATTCTCTGTGTCCCCATTGGTGAAGATTTTCCCTGACTTCCTGTGTGGTGACTGGGGGCAGGAAGTAAGCAGAAACCACCTGATGTGATCACAGCTGTAAATGTCAGATGGGGCATAAAGTTTACTATGTCATCACTGATATCATAGGCCAAGCTGAGGGGGAAAGGGGAGGAGTTCATTAGGGGTTAGGTAACGAACGGTTAATAAATGTTGGATAAAAATAAATTTTTATTACATGCAAGTTTCTTTATCTGATGTCACCAATCAGAGGCCACGCCTTCTATCTACATATGGAAGACATAGTATATACAATGATACATTACGTTGTTACATTGTATTTACTCTAGGGAAGCACCGATACCGAATACCGATACCGGAAGTCCCATTCAGGAAGCCAGGCGGCGTGTAACGACTCGCCACCCGGCTTCCTGATTAGCATGGAAGCCGTCACCATGCTATGTGACCAGAAAGCATGGAGCCGGCTTTCTGGCCAATCACGAAGCCAGGCGCCGTGTAATGACGCGGCGCCCGGCTTCATGATTGGCCGGAAAGCCGGCTCCATGCTCCCTCGTCATGAGGTGACGAGGGAGCATGGGTCACTCGTCCCAGAGTCCAGCGGGTCACTAAGCCCAGAGACGAGCGGATCACTAATCCCAGAGTCCAGCGGGTCACTAATCCCGGCCAATCAGGAAACCGGACAGCGTGTAATGACCCGCTGCCTGGCTTCCCGATTGGTCAGGAAGCTGGCCAATCAGGAAGCCGGGCACCATTTAATGACGCAACGCCCGGCTTCATGATTGCCCGGGAAGCCGGCTCCATGCTCCCTCGTCATGCTCCCTCTAGGGAGCATGAAGCCGGCTTCCCGGCAAATTACGAAGCCAGGCGTTGCGTCATTAAATGGTGCCCGGCTTCCTGATTGGCCAGCTTCCTGACCAATCGGGAAGCCAGGCAGCGGGTCATTACACGCTGCCCGGTCTCCTGATTGGCCGGGAAGCCAGCTCCACGCTCCCTCGTCATGAGTTGTCACCATTTAGAAAGCCGGGCGTCGCGTCATTACACGGTGACCGGCTTCCTGATTGGCCGGCTTCCTGACCAATCAGGAAGCCGGGCAGTGCGTCATTACACGCTAAAGAGATACGTCCTAGAAACGTTGTTGAAGTTTTATAGGATCCAGACAGGAAGTAAGGGGAAATCTCTCGGGTCTTTGTACCCAGTAAAAGCAATCAATTTCTTGCCAAG